TTGGCTATAAATAAAATATACATCATAGATCATTGAATTTTCTAAATTTTTGCCTGTTACTGATAGAGCAAAAAGTATTACACTTTAGAGGAAAGATTAAACTCTGGGAAAGGAGATACAAAACAAGTGCTAACCCATAGTTAAGGGTCTTCCTTTAATTTATGTATGATTTTTGGCCTTAGAATAATTCATTGAGATCATTTTTTTGACTGATAATTGAATGTCTACTTTGTTAGGTACTATAGCCTTAGACATTTTAAACAAAGATGCATGAGATATGATTCCTGCCTTTAGCATCTTAAAATTCAGAGGAGCAAAGATCTCAGCAATTTTATTCATGAAGTGGCTAGCTTCAGGTAATCCAACAGATGATGCACTAGGAATTCAAATGAAGTCTAATAACTTCCAGCTGGGGGGATCAGTCAGGATGATCTAGAAGGTGAGGTCTGGGTAAGCATGTTAGATAATCAGTAGGAGTGAAAAAATAGAAAAAGGAAAGAGGTCCAAGTATAAGACAGTGGGAATAAACACCAGCACATTTTGGTGGATGGTAAAGAAACCTAGCTTTGTATGATGTATAATAAGAGATAGAGCTAAACAAAAAACAGAGAAGTAGGAGGTAAACCACTTTGCATGACTGAATTTCATAGCAAGTCTACTCAATTTCACTGATGTGATTTTCAAGGAGACCTCTCTAAAGGCAGTCGGAAACATGGTAGTTTGGTCTCCACTGTTCAGTAAATGAAATGCAATGCAGGGAAAAATCAGAGCTGGAACTAGAGGGGGTAGTGTCTTTTTCCCAGAGATGCCAGTTAATGCGGGGGAGGATGAGTCATTTTTGGAAAGCAGTGCAGCATCTTCTGGGCTGTGAACAGTGGTCATTTATTTAAGCTGTCTTTTGTTACTGGTTCCTTTTGATGTTTTTCTTATTTGGTGTATGGAGAAAAACAGCATGAGACAATGCTACTACAGACTCAGAAAAAAGACTTTTAATTTAAAACATGATTGGATTGTCTTATTTTTTTTTCTTTTTTTGGAAAGTTGTTCCTTTTGAAAGACATTCCTACAGTGAGGTGATCGGTCTTATTTGCCCCACTTTGTGTTTTCTCTCATCAACCTAACATTAATATTTACAAAAGGACATTGTAGTTCAGTTCCACAAATCTTAACCAAGTACCTGTTGTGAGGAATACAATGAAGAGTAAGATAGAAGAAGGAGAAATTGTTGGTTTGATTGGAATACAGAGTATATGTAGAGTATAATAGTAGATACGATTAGAAGCAAAAGCTCTCAATATTGTGTTAAGTGTGTACAATCAGAGTTTTGAACAGAGGTTTTTTTTTTTTGATTTTTTGTTTCAGTTTGGGTGGTACAGGGAGTATATTGGCTTATTTGTACTGTTTCATGTAATTCAAATACCTTTTGCTGATGTTCATGTAAATAGGTGATCAATTAAAAATATATAGGTGACCATTTTCTCAAGTGGCAAGCGTATTAGCCAAAGTATATTAAACAGCATCTGAAAATATTCAATACTATGAAATCTTGGTTTTAGGAACTATCTCACTGGAAAATAGTAGGGCAAAACTATTCTTAAATAATTGGTATTAAGTAAGGAAAACAAAACTCATTTTTGGCCAGATAGAATCAGGGAACCTATATTCCTCACCTTGACCCTTATTCATAAAAAGATAGAAGTTTTAGTAATGACATTTAAAGATCAGGAGGGAAAAATATTTGCTGTATTCCTAAGGAATGAGTCAGTGTTATGTAGCCCACTATTTAATTCAATGTCTTGATATATTTAGATCTTTTATGACCTGAAAAAATAATAACCCCAAGAACAATGTAGATGTCATTTTGAATATTGTTTTTTTCCCAAGGATCTAATTAGATACGAAATTTTATATCAGCCAACCAATAAGATCAATACCAGTATCTAACTGTTAGCCTCATTAATATGTTTGGTGAACTGTTTCTCTCAGAGCAGCTCAAAGGTCAAGTCTTGTAGAAAAGAGAAAGAGCCTATTATCTCTCAAACTTTCTCTTTTTTTAAAACCTCCCTCCCCACATCCACCCACCCACACTAAATAACTTAAACCAAATATGTAAAGCCAGTAGACTAATATGTTGGCCTTGGTGTGAGTTATAGGCTAGTTCTGAATTACTAATGGCCATTGTGATTCCATTTGGTATTCTGTTTGATATAGTGAGCCAGCTATTATGATGTTATCCTGTTTTTAAGTGCAAAAAGGGGGGAAATTAAAATCATTCCCGGTTGAACAATTTGGGATTGAAAGTGTGGTACAGGCTTTGTGCTTTTGATGAAGACCATATTTTATTCCCCAGAAATGATCAAAATGTAGTTAACGCAAGGTTACCAGGATTCTCTAATATTACTATAAATGGAAACATTACTCATCTATTTTTGATGATAATTTTGTAAATAAAAATTAAATATCTCCTTCATAGATCATAGGAGGGTCTATTTTTTACCAAAATGGGATGTTGGAAAATAGTGGGTTCCCTGACATTGGAGACAGTCAGGTAGAACTGAGAGACAGTTGATTGGAAGTTGTGTAGTAAATATTTCTTGATTTTGTAAGACTCACTATGTTAGAGTTTCCCAGTCCAAATTTAAATGAAAACCATGTATTTCAAGAATGATAACACAAAAGAGGCTGAGATATGAGCTGGAACTGTCATCAGCTGAGCAAAATGAAAGGCATTGAATCTGTAAAAATCACATAAAAATTTGGCAATAGCAGAAGTTGATATTAATAGCCTTATAGGTTGATATTAATAGCCTTATAGCCTTCTGTTTCTGATTTTCTATAACTTAATCCCAAATATGCAGGTCAAGTCACTGGCACTTGGATCCCACTAGGAGATTCTAAATCGAATTCTAGGGCCTTCCTTACCCTCATTTCTGGTTTGGTAAAAATTTTTAAGAAATAGACAAAGAAGCTGACTTCTGTTCCATATTATAGTCAGGCTTTACAGTAGGTGCTACTGATGCCAGGCAAATCCTGAATCTGTACAGACTGCTGAAATAGTTGATAACTAGCATCATTCAGGACACAGGTTAAGTGAGAGGGCTGATGTGAAAGATGAAGGGTTAAGGCAGAGACTCTAACGGAACTTCAGGCAGAGAAGGCCAGCACCACGGACAGCTCCCCCACCCCCATCTCCCGCAGCTAACCTAGAGCTGCAAAGAAAGGCAGGGTTTAGCTTTGAAAAACTGCATCCAGGTCTTCACTCTGCCTCATCCTAGCTAAATATCACTAACTTGGACAGGCAGCTTAACTTTTGCAACCCTCAGTTTTCACATCTGCAACTTGGGAATAATAAGTGCTCTACATAGTTCTTGTGATACAGATATTAAATGATAAATTGCAAGTAAAAATGTGTCAGCTATACAAATGAAAGATGTTAATACTGTTTTTTATTAGTGTTACACTTTTAATAATTGACCTTTATGTGCCCAAGGTTTTATTATATTAATGAAAATTGCTAGATTCTTCTCAAGATTTGACACAACAGTTAAAAAAAGAGAACTGATAGGGAAACCAGGATACTATAAGCAGGTATATACTCTATTGGTAAGAGAAGGAAACTAGGATTTACTGCTTATCTTATGGGTTCAAGCATGGGTTCTTATACTATACTATTTAATTTTCATAACCACTCTGTGCATCTGGCAGAGTAGAGGAGTCTATCACTGCTGTGGTCTTTCATCACAGCACATTTCTTCTGTTACTGTTGCTGGGGTGAAATGGGTGGCCTCTGGCACACAGAGCCAAAGTGATGATAGAATTCATATCTCAGTTTTTCCAGTAGTGGTCTGCTTTGAAGTTTTTCCTGATGGCAGAAAACAGGAGTGGAGAGAGTAAGAGAGGGTAAGGAATACATGAAAGCCCCCAACAAGAGAATATCAGAGCTCCCATTGCCAGGAGACAGAGCCATGTCTCCAAGGACTCCTTTAGAAGGAGATAGAATGAACTTACTGGGATGACCCATGTTGTTACTGAGATTGCTGCAGGTCTGGACTTGGTGGTAGCCTTCCCTGCAGAGTCCTTCAATCCAGTGGTTATTGAAGGAAATGAAAAATCATACTTCAATATGTGTGTGATAACTTTATCTAATACTGTGACATCTTAGTGAAAAGCATCTAACTACCTTTATAATTAGTATATTTTAAGAGAAGATCTCATGTCATTAGCATTTAATATCCCTGCCTTTGATGAAACCAAGGTATTTTTCTTGTGATCAATTCATACATTTTTATTAGATTTAATTTAAATCTTTATTTCAGAATAGAATAGGATATTTAACTTTTTAATGAACATAAATTCTACATGTGGAAAATGATCATTTGCATATGTGAATTGATGAATAAAAAATAGATCATAATGGGAATTGATTGGGTAGCAAAGAAATACCCTCAACTTCTTTCCATATGGTTTATCTCATGTTTATAAGGATATGGACAGCTACAGGATGCTTTATAAGATTGCTAATCAAGTCCTTTTATCTGAGGATCAGCTGGGCCGATTTTTTTCTTACCAGCTTGATGGATGCTTGTGATTATCTGTTCAATAGCCGATTGAGAAATAGATTGAAGAATTAGCAATTTCAGACCTTCAGATCCCTTATCAGAGGGAAATAATAATTGTATGATGCTGTTGTCCTTCAGAACTTTTAAAAGGAAACTATTAGTGATTAGGTAGTTATATAATGATGCACATAATAAAGACCACTGGGGTTGAAAACAGAAGAAATAAGTTCAGACTCTTGCTTCAATACCTACTGAGTGCTTGGTCTTTGGCAGGTTGTTTAAACCTGAGCCACAGTTTCCTCCTATGAAAATGGAACTGCCCTCCTGTGTCAGAGAATGGTTGTGAGATTATATTAGATGATGTTTCTGAAAGGGCTTGAAACTTCTAACCAAATTTTAAAAAGAAACTTTATTATTCTCCTTTTTGTTTGTTTTCTTTAGAAAGTGAGTGAGAAGGTCGGAGGAGCTGAAGGAACCAAGCTAGATGATGACTTCAAAGAAATGGAGCGGGTAAGTTTTCACCACTCAGAGCTCCCTTTGATGTGTAGTTGTCTAACATACTGAGAGGGGAAACTGCTCTCCTCTGGTACCTAAAAATGCATTTTGTTATTTTAAAAGATACTCTCCTTTTAGTATCTGTTTTTAAAAAGAAGATGCAAAGTATCCAGTCTTCTCTTTGCACTACCCTGAGAACAAAGCCTCTGCAAAGGAGAAATATCATAACATAATTTCCTGGTGGATTTTATCATTACTTTCCCAAACAGGGATAACATGAAGTTGTGTTTGAATCGGGGTTGAGGTGGGAAGGAAATCAGGGAAGGCAGGGAATAGTGTCCCAAGTGTCTGGGGAGAGTCTTAATCATTGCCTGGCTTGGGGAATGATTGGGCAATGTTCAGATGTTTGTGTGAAGAGCCAAACAAAGAAAATTCCTAGATACTTTGTGCCTTGTCTTTTTCAGTTTTTTTTTTCCCCCTTTGGAGTTCATTGATGAATTCAACAAATTCTTGTTTTGTGCCTCCTATAAGCCAAGCATGTCGGATACAGTAGTGAACTGATAAACAATGTTCCTGACTGCCTCAAGTTCATAGTCTAGAGGGGAAGGTGACTTTGGGCAAATGCTGACCAGTGTGGCTAGTGTAACAAAATACGGTGCTGGAGAAGCTTGAAACAGAGGAAGCACACTCATACAGGGTGATTATAGAAAGCCTTCCTGCTATTCCAAAGATGATGTGGAGGGTGAGTAAGAGTTACTAGAGACTCATATGTTTCTGGTAGAAGAAACATCAAGAAAGAACAGGTCACATTTGAGTTCCTGGGGGAAAAAAAAGAGTCACCATTTCTTGTGAAATGAGGCTTATAATTTTTACGTAATTGGTCATCTGGGCTAAGTTCTTGACATGGACCTCCCTGAGAGCATAGGTACCCATGAGAGAGGAGATTTAATACAAGAGTCCAAACAAAAGTCTGGGAAGCCAGCTTTTTACACCTAATGCCTGACAGCTGTTTGCCCCCAGTGGGGTTATTGAAGTCTGCATTGCTCCTTATTTCTCATCTCTGGACAGTTCTAAGTACCACCTGATCTTTAACCAAAGCTAGTAGCCTCTGCTCTTCATAGTTCTGGAAATGGTATTTTACTCATGCATCTTCTGCAGCATCTGACATCAGACACTGACTCACTTGCTTAGAGTGACTTGCCTCCTCCGCTCCCTGTAATATTTGAATTCCTCACGCCTCATAAGGAGCAGCTTGTGGGTCTGCTAATTTGCACCAACCTCTGTCTCCACCCATTATTTCTTGATCCCCTTAGCCTTTGAATCCTCCCTCTTCCTTAAGGAAGGAATTTATAGCATGCCTCCCCACTGCCATGTTGTTAATGACAGATTAGTCAGGCATTTAAAATTTAGAACAAGAAGTCAGAATTTGAGTTCAGCTTTCAACATCTGCCAGGACTAGATAATAAGGTAGGTAGCTCACTGACTAAGTGAAGACAGTTTTTCCATTTTTTTAAAAGATTTTATTTATTTATTTGACAGAGAAAGACACAGTGAGAGATGAAACACAAACAGGGGGAATGGGAGAGCGAGAAGCAGGCTTCCCACTGAGTAGGGAGCCTGATGCAGGGTTGGATCCCAGGACCCTGGAATCCTCACCTGAACCAAAGGCAGACACTTAACGACTGAGCCACCCAGATGCCCCAAATTTTCCATTTTTTAGAGGAAACTAAAAAGAATAGAAAATTAAGAGAATGGAGTAGAATTTATCACTGAGCAACTAATTAAACCTTTGAATCCATGACAGTCTTGCAAACTAATTGAAAGAGGATCTTTTAAATGTTTTACTTCAGGTTAAGATCCAAAAGTATTCCTCTGGTTCTGACGGTAAGATTTATTTCTCCTGTTTCCTAGAAAATAATTGGCTTCTGGAGTTTTTGTTTCAAAAAATAAATTCTTGGAATTAAAAAAAAAAAAAAAGCCAAACTTCTGCTCATTAAGGAACACACCTACGGTTTTGTATTTGGGTTTATACATAGTAAATTGAGAGATCTATGTTTCAGAACAGTGTGGAGATTCTTTTATTTTATTTCAGTATACACATCTTTTTTGTCTTATCTGTGCCTCTGTGCAAATTTTACAGTCTGTACCCATGCTGAATTTGCATTAAAGGTAAAGATTTTTGTAGTAATTGGAAAGGCTGTGTCTTGGATTTGGAATACAAAATCTTTTCTGTCCTGTTAGTTTGTTGATTACTCACAAAAACATTTTAGCTCAATGTTCCCAAGCCTACAGAAAAATCACCTATCCAACAGTCGGTTTTCTGATCATCAAGCATTTGGTGTAGAGAGACCTTTTTGTTCAGTTGTGTTCTTAGAGGTGCAATTAGACAACAAAATGAAGTAAATTAGAGGTTTGCATCAAGCAGCACTACTGGGAGAGAGAATTGGGTATTCCTAGAGGTTGTTTCTCTAATCAGCCACACCAATGCCTCTCCTGCAGAGATGCAGTAAAATCCCACATGTGTCTTTTAGCCCTCACAGCTCCCAGAGCTGACTGGGTAGAATCCTGCAGCTCTGTTGTCTCTGCAGGAGCCCTGCCCCCTAGCCATTTCTTTCCTCCTCTTAAGTGCTTTGCATATAATTTTTTATGTTAGTTTTAAATGGTGTCTGTTGTTTACAAGATTTGTTAAGTACAGACTAAATTTCTTACTGTGGTGTTGATATTGTGTAAGGTTTTTCGAGAAACTACAGATTTTTTGTCAAGAGGAAGTTCTAGAATTTGAGGGATCTCTAACTCCTTCTCAAGTTTCCATCTGTTGCTGCAGTTCTGTGTGTGTGTGTGGCCATGTGCATGTGTGTGTGATCGTATTCATTCACGTGGGATATCTGTAAATGTGTCCTCCATGTGAAAATTGTTATGCTGGATAGCAGGAATGTGAAGATGATTAAGTCATAGGGCCTGCCTTCAAGGGGTTTCCAGTTTTGATGGAAGAAATGGGCACATAAATCATGTGGCTTACAGGACATGGTGCTTGGTGCCCTGTGGAGGATTTCCATGAAAGATAGGTTGATTTCATGGAAGAAAGACAGGTGGAAGCTTTCTAGGGAAGAGGATATCTGAGCTAAAGCCTGCAATATTCTTTTCCCTCTGCATGTGTGGGTAATACAGAAGTCAAAATCATGGGGTATAGTACCTCTTTTTGCAGCCTGAAAAGTGTCCTGGGAAATCCCTTTTGTTGAAGCCAGAAGAGGTCCTAGGGTTGGAAATGTGGCTATGTACCATTTCAGCGAGAATGGAATTCTTCTGAAGGGTAGCCTCAAGTTTTAAGATATGTGTGCAAGATGTTGGGAAAGAATGGGAAGAATGCCATTCCATATGAGAGTGAGGAAGAGTGGGTTATTTGCAGAGTGGGCTGTGGGGAAAATGCTGATAGGAGAATGTCCATGGTCATTATCTTCATACATTTAATTAATCATTGGGTGCATCTTTCTATCCAGCTCCAAGTGGTAAAAATAGAATTAATGAGTAGAAACTCTAGAGACAGAGAGTTAGGCTCAGTGTAAGAAAGAACTTTTGACTGTCAGAGCTGCTTTAAAAAAAAAGCCATAGCTATAACTGAATTCCCTATCATTGCCCATGTTTAAACAGTGGCTAAAACCACAGTGTGACAGTCATGTGACAGTCATCATCTTTTTTGAGTTTTGTGGCAAGTAATTTGTTGCTAATAATATCATATTTTTAATAATACCACTTCGTTGAATTCTGGTGGTTTATCTCAAATAAAGGAGAAAGGTAGAAAGTCCCAGCCAGCAGGCTCAGAGTACCACCTATCTGAGTGCACCTGTGGGTGTCTGGCATGCCGGGACATATCTTCATGGATTAGGTGGTGAAACAGAAGGTGGGATTGACTGTACTAAGACCCTCACTCACTGGCATAGACTTGTACGGTGGGTGAGAGCCCCAGACAAGATGAGCTTTAAAGACACCTTTCTACTGATCCTGAAATTCAGGGGAAGTCAAGTTTCCTCTCAGTGATGTGTTTACAATACACTTCCATGCTAATATCCATTAAAGGTAATGCCTAAGAAGATTAGAAAAAAAAAATGCACTGGGGAAATTTCGGCCTAATGCCTTGTTTATTTTTATTTTTCAACACACTATTAATCAGGCTTTCTGAATACCAAGTAACTGCTATACACAGAGCAATTTGGGAACAGGTACATTAATTCTTCCAAGTCAGGAGGGAACTATTAAAACATCCTTATTGGGCCAGTGTATATCTTATTGCCAGACAAACTTTCCCAAGGAGCTGTTTCACTATGTCTCTGTGACTTGTTTAATTAGGTGTCTCGTTCAGGGTTCTCATTACTTCAAGTGGATGTGTGTACATTTTTAATAGGTTCATTTTCTTCAGTTATGGAAAAATGAAGAATTTGAAAAGATTTTAATGTTTCATAGGACACATTAACATTTCTCTTTGTGAGAGCACTCTGAGTTACCCCATGTCCAAGTGGATGTTTAATTCATCTATTTATCATTCACCACCAAACCCAAAAATTGTCCTCCATTTTCAGACACCTATTTTTTCCTTAAACTCTGCTACTGCATCCCTGTGACAGAATCTGGGATGATGAGGTATATCCTGGTAGAAAGTCCTACCTTTAATCCTCTTGGTGCCCCACAAAGAATGCTGTATAGTTAATGTGTGTTGTCACCTAGGTTCAGGATGCAATGACTACTTTTCCACTCATGGAAAAGATAATATTCAGATGTCTCAGAACAAAAGCTCCATTCTAGCCATTCCAGTGCCTTTGGGTTCTCTTGTGTCTTGTCTCTAGAGACTGAAGCCACTGGTGAAATGATCAGCATCCATAGGTTCAGTGTGACACATATTGGTAAAAAATAAAGCCTTAGCAAGGGATTGGCAGACTCTTTCCGTAAGTATAGCAGGCTTTGAGGATCAGAGGGCCTCTGCTGTAACTTCTCACTCCTGCTGAAGAGGAACAGCAACTACTGACGACCTGAAAGGAAGGAGCATCACTGTGTTCCAATCAGAAGACACAGAAATTTGAATCTCCTGTAATTACTATGTGCAATGAAATAGGAGTTTTAATTTGAATTTTTTCAACTATTTTTAAAATATAAAAACAACTAGTGGCCCAGATTTGGCCTAAAGGCCCCAATTCTTGAGGAAAAATGGTCTAGTGAGTAGACCGGGTTAAGAGGGCTACTTTTCTCTCTACTCAAAGTTCAGATCACAAGACTGGAGAGTGGAGGAAGAACCTCCTGACTCCAAAGTATGACAGTTGCTAAAATCCTGGTGTTGAGAAAACTGAAAAAAGACCAGAAGGAGATAGGTCTATGCTTTTACCTTCAGAAAAAAAAAACAAAAAACCTTACATTGAATTTTTATGTCCTGAAAACATAACTATTTATATATATATTTACAGTTTCACCTCTAAACAGCCTTTGCCAGTGGCACCCTACACCTGTCCAGACAAGGCTAGTTAAAGAAATGGCGTCTCAGCAGCTCACAGAAATGGGAGTTGCGATTTAGGATGCATCAAAATTTATTTTCAAGTAATGGGAAAATTTGGGCATTGAGGAGATCATGAGCTGAATGTTCTAAGTTCAGAGCCTAACTACTGTTCTCAAATGGGAATGAACTCTTGAAAGTTAGGATAAATTATTTAAGTTGAAGTCTTTGTTCATATTAATTATATCAGACCTATTAATAAGAGAATATGTGCTTGGACATTGCCAGTTTAAATATATAAATAGCTTCCTGACAAGTGAGTGTGACTGAGGCACACTCAGGGTACTCACAGGGTAATAGCCCTCAGCCTGTCCATGACTGACACAGTATAGTTTAGCAAAAAGACTCCTAGACATTATTACGAAGGACAGAGATGGAGAGAAGTTAGAATCTGGTCAGCCTCCCACCTGCAGTTGGCCCTTGACTGTTTAGTTCCTTCAGTGGTCTTTCTTAGAAAATCTCTGACTCACGGCCTTTGAACTACTTTTCTTTCCCTTATAGCCATAGTGGATGTGTGACACCAGACAGTTCATTTGCCTTCTCTAGGTTCAAACTTGTACATCCGAAACATGAAGGCTTTGGATTAGATCTAACACTGGGTGGTCTCTATTATGTTCTTTATTAAGTGCTATCTGTCACCGTAAAATCAAGAGCAAGATTCTTGTGGATGAATTTGCTAATCGGCTATTCCCTGTTTGAGGTACGTCTTGATAACACAATACACAAATGATTATATTGGATGAAGCTGTTTTCAGAAGTGGATTTCAAGCGAATTTTATTTAACACTCTGATCAAAAAGGTTTGGCTAGAGCTGGTTTTATGGTGATGTTTCGCTTAGGTAACTAAAAGTGTCCAAGGAGTTTGCTTCCTTGGACACAAAGTCTATAAAGATCTGAGGGTGGTATGGGCTCCTTCCTGGAAGATTTTGGTCAAACCACAGGAAACACTGGATAGCTTTTATTCCTACTACCCTTGGAAGATCGAATCCCACCTGGGAAACAGACTTCATGCTCTAATATTGGCATCTCTGTTGTCTCAGTGCCCTTCCCTGAGACCACTGGCTTTAGCCAAACTAGTGGCTTGTATTAATAGAGGCCAAGTAGTTGAGCTCTCTATCTGAGGAACCCAGAAGGGAGAGGGGGTTCCATGCCCCAAATGAGAACCATTTTTCATTTCTTCCCTGCTGACCCCTCTGTGTACCACTCCAAATACATTCTTCTAGAACCCAGCCTCTGTAGAGAAGTCCGTGTAACTAAGGGCATGTGGTCAAACAACTCAATGTAGGAGTCTCCCTTTTGTGGAGGCCCAAAATGCCCAGGGTAGAATAGTCCTTGTGGATAAACTTTCCACAGATTTTGAAGACTTTAAGAAAAAATACCCAGAAGAGGGGATGAGACGTGTTTTCGCCCTGGTCCTGTGTTGGCCACTGCCAGATCCCCAGCCCCATCTGGAAGATGTCACAAAGAGCGTTGCAGCTCTAACTTGGACTCTGTCTTCATTTGGGAGGTGTCCCTTTTGCCCATCTTTCTATGAGGAGCTTATGCTTTCAAGAAGTTACAGGGTAATAGTTCAGAACACAGACACTGGAGCCAGAATCAGGTGAGTTGCTTAACCTCTGTATATCTATTTTACAGGGTTTCTGATGATTAAATGAGTTCAGATATTTAAAACCCATTAGAATGACTTTTGACAAACAGAAAACACTTTATGGTGGTGGTGGGAGTAATTATTACGGAGGGCTGGAGTGGGAGAAAGTTAGAAATTAGTTAACAGCCTAGTAGCGGATGACTTTGGAATATCACAGGGCCAGTGGATAGTTCAGTTCCTCCTCTCCTCTCTTAGAAACCTTGAACTTTGGGATGGTTTCTTCCCATCACAGCCACATAGGACTGTTGGATACACATTTGACCTCCAGTTCCTTCATCTCTATCATATAGTCTTAAGGAGATCTATGTTTCCCTCCTGTCATGCATGTAACGTGGACTTTCAGCATGTTTGTTGTGCACACAACCTTTTATTCACTTCCATGACTTCCATGAGTATGTAGTGCATGGTCAGTGTTCTGCTAATACTGCCAGTACCTCCACTTATGGCCATACAAGTCCTGTACTGCACAACTCCAGGGAACACTTGTTCACTTCTGTACTAAACATGACTTGGTACATGCTCAAATCTAAGGCCTCCCACAAACCCAGGTCAACCAGAAGGACCTGGTACAGGGTTCTTATGTAGGCTGGCACCTCTTGAATAGGAGTGCTTCTTAAGGTAATTTTATACCATGATGAACACGCGAGAAAAGTGGTTTCTTTTGTTAATTGCAGTAAGAAGAAACTCCTTACACAAAAATATGACTGCCATGAAATGGGATATTATTAAGTATTGAAAAACCAAACTGAACAATAAAATATGCTGATGGGGGGTCACCTGGGTGGCTCAGTGGGTTAAAGCCTCTGCCTTCGGCTCAGGTCATGATCCCAGGGTCCTGGGATTGAGCCCCGCATTGGGCTCTCTGCTTGGCAGGGAGCCTGCTTCCTCCTCTCTCTGCCTGCCTCTCTGCCTCCTTGTGATCTCTGTCTGTCAAATAAATAAATAAAATCTTTAAAAAAAAATATGCTGATGGAATTTGGTTTTGTTTCTGATTATGAAAGACACTTATCCCATCCATAAAAGGCTGATTTTATATGTAGGTGCAGTACGTTTCTGAAAAATTTCTTAGAATTGAGGGAGGAGCCCTTGAATTCCAGTTAAAACAAAACAATGAAGCCCCCATCTACTTGAGAGCTGAAATTCTACCATCAGTGATTTCTTTTACTCATAGCTATATCATATATCCCATCACATACCTTGGGTAGGAGGATGTATTTGTTTTTATTACTTAGATACCCTGTCAAGTGGAGTGAGTGAGTGGGCCACACATGTGGATATGGAAAGGATTTTATTAGAGAACATAGAGTGGGCTATTACACTCTCCATTAGGGAGGAGGGCCCGAAAGAGAGAGGGCATGTTGGCTTGCTGAACACAAATGCTGACCGTTCAAAATTTTGCAGAGATGGACTTGAAGATTGAGATTTTTACTTGGAATTAACCAAAAGTTTAAAGATTGATTAGAAGTGTTTGTTTAAGGGGCACCTGGGTGGCTCAGTGGGTTAAAGCCTCTGCCTTTGGCTCAGGTCATGATCTCGGGGTCCTGGGATCAAGCTCCGCATCGGCTCTCTGCTCTGCAGGGAACCTGCTTCCTCCTTTCTATCTGCCTGCCTCTCTGCCTGCTTGTGATCTCTGTCTGTCAAATAAATAAATAATATCTTAAAAAAAAGAAGAGAAGCGTTTGCTTAAGAATTTTATATACTTAGGATACTCTGAGAAGTTAAAACTTTCCATCCATAAACAGAGTTGATGTTGCATATTTCTTTTTTTCTGTCCCTGAAACCTGCCACCATGCCTGGCCCACTGCAGACAACCCATAAATGCCTCTGGGGCAAAATATGATTCATGATCTCCACGTTCTTTTTCTTTTTCTTTCTCTTTTAAACTTCTACTTGTGTTTATTTTATGCTAAATGTATTCATGGGCCATATGTTTTTATTCCTTTGGTTTTTACTTGAGGTGTGTGTGTGCACGTATGTGTACATGCAGCCTCCTCTTCTGGTTTGGGAACAGTTCTTTTCAGCAAGAATCATCTCAGGGCAGCAGAGAGAGCTTATGTAGGGCTTAATTTATGAGCTCTTTAAACCTGGGATTCACCTTAGGGGTCTTGCTCACATGGACGTGCTCAATGACTAGAGAATCTACATCAAGAACCTTGAGTTCAGTGTTATTCCCTGCATTTTTAAGCATGTACAGTGAAAATTCAGTATCTTATTGGGCTTGGGACCTGTGTCCAGCCCTACTATTTGGCCTGGGCACATCTGCCATCTCCAGTAACATATCTCCCATCTGGTAACAATGGGATAGCACATTTTCTATAAAGTGACATAATTTTGGTGTCTTTTGGGGTATGTGTACCTTCTATGGCTTGGGCAGTTTCCAGGGTATTCTTAAAGTGAACATGGAGATTTGAACCTCTTGATTTGCACAATTGTGTGTGTGTGGGGAGGGTTGGGTGAAGTTAAAATAAACCACTTTCAGAGACCACCTCAGACCTATAGGGGAAGAGGAAACTATCTCCCCCTTATTTTGCCTGAAGATAGTAAAGTATATTTTGAAACAGATTTTAGGAAATTCCTGGTTCCTCTTTCAGTAACTAGGGTTTCCACCCTTGATGGAGCCTAGCTGAATGTGAAGCGATTCTTCCTTCCGGAGCCTCTCCAGCTCCTCCCTGCCCCCCACGCCCCCGCTCTGTTTTAGCACCCGTGGTTGTTATTCAAGCAAAACTTGGGTGCTACAGCTAATAGTTTTTGTCACTTAGAACATCTCTTTTCTCATTTCAGAAGGTGGATGTCACCAGCAGGGCTGTGATGGAAATAATGACCAAAACAATTGAATACCTTCAACCCAATCCAGGTAAGGGATTGTTTTATGCTTTCAGGATGTCCCTCCAGGTAACTTGTAGTTTCTCTTTGATCGACATTTAGGTTTGGTGTGCTTCTTCCTCAGCCCTCCTTTCTGGAGCTTCAGTGACTTTCCTGTATAGCACCTTTGGTGGTAGGTTTCAGGGACAGAAAAGGAGGGAGAACCTCTTAAGGTTGACATCGAAGTAACTGGAGCATTCTGGGATATTTTGTCTGACCCTAGTGTATTTAACAAATAGCATAGCACGGACATCTTGGGTGGCACATCATGTCAGGGTAGCTGCAAGCTGTTAGCCATCAAACTTAAATTTTCAAGTTATGGTAAGAAAGAATTGGGATAGTTTTAAGATAAGATCTAGTAATTTCTACAGGGTGTGAAAGAGTAGGAAGTTCTTGTGAAATACAGAGGGTTTCTGTTCATACAGCATCACTAGAGTTTTTGGAAAGTTGTTCTTAATTTCAATGCCTCTCTGAGTATATGGCTGGTTAACATTTGTTCCTGCTAACTTGCTATGCTCCCAGAGAGGGAAGTTGTAATAGAGAATTTAATGGATCTACCCCTTGAAAGGAGAACTAGGCAGAGCTGAGCAGTGTCTGTAGACACAAGGTATAACAAAGCAGAAAGGTCTGTGTCATTGACCTCCTCACTCCTCTTCCTGACATCAGTTCCTAACACAGCGTATAGAAAGGATGGAAGAAAGCCTTGAGGCAAGGCTGAATGTATTTACGTGAGAAGTATGAATATTTGGAAAACTGCTCACTTTTAGGACTAGGTTCTTTGGGAGTTTCAGGTTGGGAGTCTAGTGTCTTTGGTGTTTCTGGGGAGGGTGGTCTAGACACTGTGTCAGCCCCAGTGTGTTTGGACACAGAGCACTAGTAGCAAGAGGTGAGAAAAGGAGAAGGTGTGGGGTAAGAGGAACAAGTGAAATTGGAAGTATTGACTAGTTCTCTACTGCCTCCTGCTGCTGGCCGAGCTCTCAACCAACCTTTATTTACCTGTGAGAGCACAGCTGCTGTCTTGAAGATGAACAAACTTTATAGGAATAACATTTTTGATTTTTACTCTTTTTAAAATACGTAAGAGATGGGATTACGTAAGGAAGGAAAATACAGAAGTAAGTATAGTAAGGTTATAGGAACTAGGAATGTAGCTGATTGTGAACCAAATGATTAGTAAATTAGACAAAGAATACCAAAAATGAAGTTCCTAATTTTTATCAGAGCCACCTTCATGACCTTTATATTCATTCCACAGAGATGCAAGGATCTCTTAGGTAGTCATTTATTTCTTAGGATTCCTATCACAACTGTGATAGGTCAGGTTCTGAAGAGAGATGCTCACCCTGTTTCACCATAAGAAATCATTGAATAAGGGCAAAAAATTTGTATTTTCATCTTTGCGTAGAATTTTGAAGTGCTCTCTGATCTCCTGGGATTTATACATGTATTGTGCTGGTAACTCATTTTTGTAAGGTGAAGATAATTATAGAGTAAGGAGGGAAAATAGACTATTTATTGAGCACTAATGCATTTTTAGGGTGGGCTAATTATGTACACCGTCTCAACTCTGAAAATAACGATTTTTTCTGATTGGAAAAATAACACAGAGTTGAACAATTCATAATTATGGAAAAGCGACTAAAAATCCATCATAAAACACATCCTTAGTGGAAACCATCAGTGTTCTTGAGTATAATGGAACTCTGTTATAGATAGCTACAGTATGTTGAATGGTATGCCCCCTCAAAATTCAGACCACCCAGAATCTCAGAATCTGGCCCTATTTAGAAATAGAGTCTTTACAGATACAAATAGTTAGTGATCTTGAGATGAACTCGTTCTGGAGTTAGTGTTGGCCCTAAAGCAATGATTGGTATTTTTGTAAGAAAGGAAGACACAGAGACATAGGGATGAAAACCATGTGAAGTGGAGGCTGAGATGGGAGTGATGTGGCCACAAACCAAGGAATTCCAAGAGCTACCAGAAGCTGGAAGAGGCAAGGAAAGGATTCTCCCAGACAGCCTCTGGAAAGAACCAACCCTGCAGACACCTTGATTTCAAGCTTCTGGCCTCTTGAACTGTAAGAAAGTAAATTTCCTGTTGCATTAACTCACACAGTTTGTGGCAATTTGTTGTGGTAGCCTTAGAAAACTAACACAGTGGGCTAACCTTATTTTCTGCAGGAAGAAACATGGGTCCGAAAATTTAAGAAACGTTCCCAAAGTCACACATCTTGGAGGGGATGAGGTCAGAATTGGAATCCAAGTTAGGGTACAACAGAAATTCAGAAAGGAAACAAATTGTGGGATTGAGACTTAATTTTATTTTAATAAGATTACAGAAAGAGGTCATGGGAGAGATAAGAATTTTTAGAAATGACATTTTTAATAAAATGTTTAATGTGCTTACTAGCTGCCAACATGTTGGTTTGTTTTATGGATGTTTAAAAATTGAGTGGACATTTGTCACCAAGAAGAACAATTAAGGCCACCACTCAGGCAATCCCAGTTTCATTTCAGAAAAGCAGTTATATATAGGCAGGCCACATATGTGTACAAGTTAGGTCCAGAACAAAACAAAATTTTGTAGACTTATTCTATAGAATTCGGACGATCTGTATCTAATTGGTCTATGATGGATATGATTTAGTCCCTCCATCAGTTTCTCACGCTGAGAGCAGACACTTCGCTATAGCACTTCTGCAAAGTGGCTGGTTCAGTACACTTGTTCACTATCCAAGTGTCCTTGACAAGGGTATGCAGGAGTCTAGCAAACACTCAGAGATACCTGGTCTTTGGGTACAGAAAAGCAGAAAGAATATTCTCAAACTCATACTTGGTAAATACTTTGAGCCTCTCAATGACCTCAGGAACTGTGTCAACCAACATGTTTCCCTAGACGCTGGTCCTGAATGAGTGAGATCTAGCTTGGGTCAGGACAGAGCCTGGTGCCAGCCAACAGATTTACATGGATAGGCTGGTAGGCTCTGTGGAAATTCATGCTTTGAAGGTACTTTGAGAATGAATATCTTGCATTAATTTAGTATTCTGGGATGTGTTCTGGCTTTCAGATCTTGTGGCTTTCATATCTTTTATATTCTTAAAACCCAGTTCCTATTGAAGTGATGACCAAAGAGAGTTTGATTAATTTTCATGAATCTGTAGATATGCTCTACACTGTGTAGGCCCCTTATCCAAACTCGCCTGCTTCCAGAGTGAGGTTTTTAAAAGGAAAATCTGATCATATTATCTTGCATAAAACCTTTCAATGGCTTTTCATTGCTTTTATGATTAGGTTTTAAATTTTCAACATGGCTTAAAGGACCCTCCTTGCGGGGTTAGTTTGCCCTTTCCCCTCTACCTTGGCAGGCAATTAGTACCCTCTGGTGCAGCATAAAGGTCATTTAAAAGCCTTCCTTGACCCCTGACTAGTGAGGTTCCCCTGTCAAGATTCCTGCTGCCTTTCCCTGGTGGCACACTCCACACTTACTGTAAATGTGTGTGATATGTGTGCTTTTGTTTGTCTTCCTCTGTAAGGACAGAACTGTGCCTGCCTTATCCCCATGCCCAGTCCCCAGGTCAGGTCAAGGCAACTGGTGGCATTTGGGTATTTGAACAAATGAGTTATGAAACACCATTGACAGTCATTGGCTAAAGTGACAAAACTGCTAAAATATAAAGAGGAAAAGGAGAGGGGCACCTGGGTGGCTCAGTGGGTTAAAGCCTCAGCCTTCAGCTCAGGTCATGATCCCAGGATCCTGGAATTGAGCCCCGCATCAGGCTCTCTGCTCAGCGGGAAGCCCGCTTCCCTTCCTCTCTGCCTGCCTCTCTGCCTACTTGTGATCTCTGTCTGTCAAATAAATAAATAAAAATCTTAAAAAAAAAAAAAGAGGAAAAGGAGAAACTCTTGCTTTTCCCTAAACCATCAGCTCTACCCATATAACTAACGTTTATCAAATGCATTTATTTTTATGCAGAGATCAACTTTAGATGTTTTAGGGATAAAAATAGGACCAAGATTGGGCTTCAGGCCTCTGGTACTTCACAGCTGAGTAGCATAAGATATATACACCCTGAGGAGACCTGGAGGGCTTCACAGCTAATTCCTCCTGGAAATTCCAGGTCACTAATGAAGTGAGCAAGGGTAAATGGGGTCACAGGTTTACAGGTGTATGCTGTGAAGCAGGGCTTTCAAGAATATAGACCAGAGAGCTGTAAAGTCTTCTACCGTGGATTGTGAAATATTCTGAATGGAATAGCATAAACAAGTACAAATTTGCAACCTACTGAGAAATAATTCAGACATGAAAAATACTGTACCTTATATTCTTATATTCAGCCCTTATATTCTTATGGCATAAAAACAAAGACCATTCCAAAAGATAGAAATCAGTTTTCTTATACAAGTAGTCTGATGCCTTATGGAGAAAGAAGTACTAAATCAACAATGCTGAATAGAAAAAAGTTGCAAGCCACATGTATAATTCTGAATTTTCTAGTAGCCACATTAAAGAGTAAAAAGAAAAGGAAAAATGATTTTAATAATGTTTTTAACCCAGTATATCCAGAATTTAACCAATATTAAAATATTGAGAAATTTTACTTTCTTTTTTATTCTTGTGCTATGTTTTGAAATTCATTGTGTTATTTCACACTTACAGCACAACTCAGTTTGGACTAGCCGCATTTCAAATGATTGATAGCCTCATGTGGCTGGTGGTTCCCATAATGGGCAGCTCAGGATAATTTGCCATTTAAGCTATCTATTATATTTTGATATATGTTTGATGTTTAGCTCATTGGCTTATGTGTATTGGTGGTGGCTTGTTTGTTTTTTCAGTAGAGAAATGAACCCTTGATTTTAGACTTAGAATATCTTTCATTTTTTTTTAACCTTCTGCAAATCTATTACATGGCATTGTGCTAGAGATCTTACTCTGAAATAGAATGATGGACATGACCAGATTGGGCTCTGTTTACTTCCCAGTCTTAG